CTCCTGATTTTCCAAGAGCCCTGACTCTCTCTTTGCTTTGGTGTGCTGTTCAGTTCAGATCCTTGAATTCTTCATTTCTGCTCCCACCTACACAATGCCTCCAGTTCTTTTTACCCAGATCCAGGCTCCGGAAAAGAAAATGTAGACGAAAATGAGCAGGCTGAGAGAAGTACTGGTTAGCAGCACCCAAACCTCACATTTCCCACACAGGTAACCTCAAAGCAATGATGCCCCTGAGCTCCTGAGCCAGGCACCTGGGGGAGAGACCTCAGGGAGCCTCAGATGCCCATCAGTCCACAGAGTCAAAGCGAGTGTGAAAATCAACATCGGACGTTCTTTCCAAACACAAGGCAGGATCAGCACCTCTGGGCGGGGGTGTCAGGCATGTGAGCGTGTGAGTGTCCTGCCTTGCACACTGAGGGCTCATAAATGGCACTTGGGTTGGAGCTGGCTGTGTGTGAAGTGGGACGGGGTCAAGAGAAACTTGGTAACCTGTTACATCTGTAGCTCTCTGCCACGTCCCTTTCTCCTATAAAGAAAAAGGCTTCCCTTTTCAGGCCTTCTGGCCAAGATATAAAAACAAGTATCTTCCAGGCAACTTTCACAGCAGCAGCAGGAAGGCAGCTGGGGACTGTGCCCACACCCAGGGCTCCACTTCGTGAGCTCTGAAAGCAGAGAAGCATCGGGTTCAATTTCTGCCGTCAGCCTGGCATTCTGGCGTCAGCTGCCTTTTTCCAACTTAATTCTCCTTAGCCACAGAACTGTGCGGCTTATCCCGAGTTATGATATCACCAACTGCAGCCCTTAGCACAGTTAATCACTATGGCCCAAGTCAGTCTTGCCCAGGTACCCATGGACAGAAGCCACCAAAACATTTACTCAACAAATAAAATAATAGTAATAAATCAAAAGCTGGATTGCTCTTATAGTTCAGATGCCCAGCAGTTAAGAGTAGTTGCTCTCTTGTGGAGGCCCCAAGTTTGGTTCCCAATACCTTGAGGATAGCTCACAATCACCTGTAACTCCAAATATAGGGAATCTGATGCCTTCTTCTGGCCTCTGCAGGTACCTGTACTTGAGTGCACACACACACACACCCAACCCTCCTGCATACACATATCTTTATAGTTTTATAATAAAACGTGAAAATATTTTTTGGCAAGCGGTGCCCCCTTCAGATGAATTCACAGAGAAGGAAACGGGACAAACTTCGGCATACACATCGGGCAAACACTGGCTTCCCACAGTTTACATCACTCACACCCCTGGGAGTACAAAGCCTACAAATTAGAGCTGCTGGTGCTTTCACAAACCTAAACTTCCCTCCACAGAACTCCTGCTCGTCTGAATGGATTTATGCTCTCAGTCACGGAGGGCTCATTACATACACGGATTGTTTAATTGGTACCCTGACTGTCCCCGGATGTTGGATCTGGGCTGGGGAAGGTTTGCCATCGTTGGAACAGCACGCAGAACCCACAGCGTGCAGAGTCAAGCACAGACTCTGGGTGAGACCAAGACACAAGGAAGGGTCTCTGTGGACGGCAAACGGGCCCACATGGCAGGACCTGCTTTCTGGACACAGGAGGAGCCTCTCAACGACGGGGTGTCAAGGAAAACCAACCCCATCCCTGAGCCCAGAGCATCCTTCAGGAAGACTCCATCGGTACCAATCAACATGAAATCTAGGCCAGCTCTGACAGATCTCGGAGGCTTTTCTGACTCTCCCTTGTCCAAATGAACCATAAGAATGGCACAGTTCTCAGGGAAGGGTATTTATGGCCTGAGAAAAAGCAGGCCTCCCCAAGCAGAGCAGCGCTTGGATGCCAGGAAGGAGCAAAAGCCACAGGGAAAGCTCAGTGTGGCAGAAAGCCAAGAGCCAGCCACACACAGCAGCGGTGCTAACGCTCGCTGGGAATTGCACGGCACGGCACGCTCTCTCCCAAAGGAGACGCTGTAAACTAAAACGTTACATCAACTGGCTGGGAAGACGGACCAATTAGGAAAGGGCTTGCCGTACAAAGAATGAGGGCACCACATAAAAAGCCAAGCGTGGCGGCACATCTGTAATCCCAATGTTGGGGAGGCAGAGACAGGAGCATCTCCGCAGCTCCTGGCCAGCTAGTCCAGCCTGATGGGTGAGACCCACTTTTAGTGAGAGACCTTGTCTCAAAAATAATATGGAGACACTCAGTGTCAAACTCTGGCCTTCATGTGCATGCCTGCATGCGCATGTATCACCTTCACACATGTAAACAGGGATACAATACACACAATAAATAATTAAATGGTTCTCCCTAGCTTGTTTCTGATACTGGAAAGTGTCTTCCCCCAGTAGTGTGGAACAGCCAGGCTCTGTCATCTTTCCAGAGAGGACTCTGTCCCTGTCCTTATCCTGTCTGCATGCTGTGAGGACAGTGGTGGCCCTAGGCTTCAGCATGAGAGACTCTGGAGGGCCAGGGTAGGACAATGGCTTCCTCACAGTCCAGTGACTGACGGTGCCATCTAGCCATGTCATATGAACAGAAAGCAGGAACAAACCTTCACACTAACCAATCACAAAAGCCGTCCATCTGCTCAGTTCACACTTTGGAAGAAATCCACAAATTAAAAGAAAAGCTAAACTCCAGCTCCCTGAGGTTTACAGACTCCCTCCGCCACTCAAGCTATGACATAACCACTTTGTGCACCTGACTTCTCACGAGTAAAAAAAAATCCAGCTTCTCTCTTGCAAAGGTCAAGATGATGTGAAGACATTGGAACTCTGTAGAAAGGAAAGTGATGAGGTCTAAGCTAATGCAGTTGGGTCTGGGTGTCCTGGGATTCAACTAATTGCAGCCTCAAAATGGAGGAGGCAACACTGGTCCTGTGAGCGCAATGCAACTAGGCCCGTAACGGTTGAATCTGTACTAAACACGCACAGACCATTTTCTTGTTATTCCCTAATTAATACAGTGGTGGTGGTTAACAGGTCCTAGGATCACCCAAGAGACATACACGGCTCAGGTCCTGTCTGCAGAGGATGATCTAGATTAGGTTAGTACATTGGTTGAGGTGGGAAGACTCCCCCAAATGTGGGAGGCATCGTACCATGGACTGCAGTCCTGGACCGAATGAAAAGGCAAAGTGAGCTGAGCACCAGCGTTGTCTCTCTGCTCCGTGACACGTGACCACTGCAGTGTGATCAGTGTCTCCTGCTCTTGCAGCCCC